TGGATTCCTTTTAATAGATTAAAGAATATTCAAAATATTGGTGATAAAGTTTTAGCAACCTGGTTAGATGGAATACGGATCACTTCAGGTGGATATGGAAGGTATACACAGTCACGTATAGAATTATATAAAGTGGAACTTAAAATATTAAATAGATCACAGGAAGTAAGTTAGAATATTTAATAATTTATCGCTGGGGGCCGTATTATTTCAATTTACAATTTATATAGTTAAAACTGTTAACTTGCCAAATTGTCACCAAAGTGATATTAGTTAAATAACTTATCGTGAAATGATAGTCGGTGAAGTGATTGCCACCGGTATATGTCATTGTTACATAATACATATATAGGTTTATCTTAACTGTATATTTTACATGCTTAATAAGTTTGTAGATTATGTACAGTTAAAAAACAATGGGTTTAAAGTATATGGACTAACTCAATGTACTGTACCTCAACGAATGAGTATATGTTGGTATTTGATGAATTTGGTTCTAAAAGATGTGAAAGTTATGAAATATGTGCAAATTGCAAGCGATATGATCAATAGTTCAATAGTTATGTATAACACAATAAACAAGATACCAAAACGTTTATATTATATGATCGCATTACAATTTGACAATGTCATTACACATTTAAATTACTTATGCAATATTAGAAAACGTTCTCATTAAATGATTTATTAAAAACATTTTGACAGAATGTCAAGGTCATTTTCTTTTTTTTCTGTCTACTGGTTGTACTTTCTTTTTTTCGGGCGTCAAGTCAGTTAGTGTAATGAACAGGTGTGCATTTTCATTATTATCGGGTGTACGGGTACATGCATCCTGAATATAACTTTTCAGATCAGTCAAACTTTTTTCAAGCAATTCCTAATGATATAGCAGTGCAACAATAAAAATTTCGTAAATAAATGTAAGAAACTAATGTAATATAGTTAGATCAGAATGAAAACAAACCTTAAATTTGATAAATGCTGATACAGAAAGTTTTATTAACCCCACTTCAACAGCATTCGTTGGTAATTTTGATCGTAAAACCTCACAAAAAACATACAGTCCACGAAATGGTATTGACATTTCATAAACAATCATTTCATTATCTATGGAAAGTAATTGTTAGTTTTGTACAATATTAACAATTTTCAATGTTAGCAATGCTTACAATAAACGTGTAGACCGTACAATTTTAATAAACTCAAGTTCATGCCTGTACCACCATACTTTTTCACAATCCTATTAATGATAACCTTTAAATTCTTGGCAATTTTAAGTTTGTCATTAAAAAAATGTGAATGATCAAGTTTGTTCGGTGGCCCACTGATTTCACTAATAGAGAACTCAAGGTCAGTTGGCTTCATAGACCAGATGATGTCTATTTTTTGGCCTGCATTACGGTCTTCCCCGTCATCTTTTCCCCGATTACGATCTTCTAATGAAGCGAATAGACATTTTTCGCCACTATGTAAAG